CTTGTTCCAGCACATTTGCAGTAAACATTTTAGAGACGGGATAATCTTTTCTTTGTCAATAGCACCACCTGGTGGTCAATCTGTACAACTGCATTTTTTAGCTTCAAGTTAACGAAAGATTAAAGGTGCTGCTTATGATTTCACTAGCAGTTTTGTGCTAATAACATAGTATAGGCCTGGCATGGTGGCTCACCTGTAATCCCAGCACTTTGGGAGGCTGAGACAGGAGGATCGCTTGGCCTCAGGAGTTCAACACCACCCTGGGCAATGTAGTAAGAGCCCCTTCTCTACAAAAAAAAGTTTAAAAATTAGCCAGGCGTGGTGGTACGTGCCTATAGCTCTAGCTGCTCAGGAGGCTGAGGTGGGAGGATCACTTGAGTCCAAGAGTTCGAGGTTACAGTGAGCTGTGATCATACTGCTGCAGTCCGTGAGACCCTGTCCCTAATAAGTAGTAACAATAACATAGCAGTACAGTATAATTATGACAGCTAGTATCACTATGATAGTATATCTACCTGGTTGCAAAAGCCATCTCACAGGGTTAGCTGGTCCAGAAAGTACACAAGCCTTATAGATGTTCTCTTACATACCTGGGGCTCATGCCTCATTCCCCATAGGATTCCAGGTTTGTTTTAATTTCCTGATAGTGGATCTATTCTGGGCGGCAGTTCTTAGACAGTGAGCATTTCCGTCTACTGCTGAATCTTGGTGTCTTTGGACATTGTGGGGTATATTGTGAACTTACACCACTGTATTAGTTTCCTCGGGTTGCCTTCACAAAGCACCACAAACTAGGCGGCTTAAACAACACCAATTTATTCCCTCACAGTTATGGAGGATAAAAACCTGAGATCAAAGTATTGGCAAGGTTGGTTCCTTCTGAGCACTGCAGGGGAGGTTGTTTTCTACCTTTCCCATATCTTCTCGTGATTTCCTGGCAATCTTTGGCATCCCTTGGCTTATGGAAACATCACGCCAGTCTCTGCCTCCATCTTCACATGCTGTTCTCCCCGAGTCTGTCTCTGTCCAAATTTCCCCTATACGGACACCAGTCATACTGGATTAGGGCTCACCCTAATGACCTTGTCTTTACTAATTCCATGTGCAGTGACCCTATTCTGAGGTGCTGGGAATTAGGGCTTCAACATATGAAATTGAGAGGGACACAGTGCAGCCGGTAACAGCCACCTATCTCTTTATACCGCCAGACTTCATTTCTGCCACGTTTTTCACAATTATTTGCTGCTCTTCCCAGCCGGACAGTTATATTTCCTTGCCCCATTGATGTGAGGCTTAGCCTAAAATTGCTTTGGCCAATAACATATGAATAGAAGTGAACGTTTGAGAGCTTTTTCCCCTCTGCCATGAAACAGGCAGTATTCCAGATAGAGGCTGTTTCACCAGCCTGTGTCTCAGATGACAATGACATGGAACAGAGCAGCAGCTGAACTTCAGTGGATATGTAGTGTGAACAAGAAAATCTTTATGATTTTAAGTCACCAAGACTTTGGGGTCATTTGTTACTGAAGGATAAGTTCACTTAAGCTGACTGACACTGTAACTTCACTCCTCATGTGAGTGGGTTTTTTTCACCCATCCGTCAGATGTTTGTTGAAAACTTGTCCTGTGCTAGGCATAGCACTATGTGTTGGACACTGATGATGTCAACTCGACTAGGCCGCGGTGCCCAGACACTTGCTAAACACCAGTTTAGGTGTTACTGTTAAGGTATATTTCAGATGAGATTAACATTTAAGTCGGGGGAACTTCGAGTCAAGCTGATTACCCTCTGTAATGTGGGTGGGCCTCATTCAGCTGAAGTCCTTAGGAGAAAAAAGATTGAGGTCCCCCGAGGAAGAGGGAATTCTGCCTTCAGACTCTAGCTGCAACATCAGTTCTTCCCAGGTGTCCAGCCTGCGGCCTGCTCTGCAGAGTTCAGATTTTGCAGCCCTCATGATAGCATGAGCCAAGTCCTTAAAATAAACCTCTCACGTGTTCTATGGGTTCTGTTTCTCTGGAGAACCCTGAATAATAAATACACACATCAGAGAACAAATTATGCTCACAGTGTAAAGGAAGATGCAGACAAACAGATTATAGTATTATGTACAAAAGGCTGGAAAGTACAGCAGGTCCTCAAATAACATTTCATTATAATGTTGATGTTAAAAAAAAAAATGGATTCCCAGCCAGAGGCACTGTCTGCGTGGAGTTTGTACAGTCTCCGTGTGTCTGCATGGGTTTGCTCCGGGTGTACTCGGTGTCCTCCCATGTTCCAAATACGTGCACGTTAGGCTAACAGGAGCATCTAAATTTTCCCAGTCTGATTAGGCGTGGGGTGAGTCTGAGTGAGCCCTGTGATGGGACTATGTCCTGTCCAGGGCTGGTTCCCAGGGTGGGCTCCAGCCACTGCAGGCCTGAACTGGAATAATTGGGTAAATAGTCATCTTACTTGTCTTTATTAATCTTTCTTAAATGTATGTACAGCTCACATTCATTTCAATATTTAATATTAGAAGTGTTTTAGTCTTTATTTAGAAGTTTGGTGATATTTTTGTGACCAGAAACATGCCATAGGAACTTACCTCTTGTTTGTATCAATTATCCTGTGTAAAATTGGTCTCATTATACGTCGTTTTGCTTAAAGTTTCCAAGAACCTACAACACAGGTAAGTGAGGACTTACTGTGGTGCACATGGTGGGAGCACACAGGAGCACTTGACCTTGACTTGTGGAATCAGAGAAGGCTTTCCAGAGGAAAGGAAGTCAAATGTGAGGACCATAGATGGCAGGTGGACCAGGAGTGAGCCAAGAGCAGGGACGGTGTGGCCGGTACCAGAGATTGGACTGAGTAGAGAACACGCATTCTCAACAAGGGCATTTATTACAATGGTTTGTGGCCATCCAAAGCTCAGTTCTATCTGACAACATCTTATTCCTTAGTATTTAATTGAGGGATAAGAAGATGATTAGGAAAACATGTCTAAGAAGGCTCCATGGGGGAGCAGTGATAAAAAAGAGATTGAGAAACATTGGTATAGAAAGACCATTTGGGCTGAGGAAAGATCACATATGAGGCCACAGAAGTGAGAGAGAATGTGGACCATTTGAGAAAATAGAATGATTGGCAGGAGGGGGAGGCAGGGAGAGCAGCCAGAGAAGAGGCTGGTCTAGATACAGATTTTAAGGAAAATTAAATCGGGAAATGCATTTTGACCTCAATTGTCTAAATAATTTTAAGTAAAATCGAACTTTGTGTCTGTATTAATTACAGCACAGCACGCTCATTTGTTTACGTATGACTCTGTCCTTCATGTTTGTGGTTCCTGTTCGTGGTTCCTGTTTGTGGTCACGTACTGAATGAATCATTAAGCTTTAAACATTGTTTCAGAGATAGCAAAGGGCATTTGTTAAAATATCTGTTTCAATCTATCATACTGGCACCTTTTAGTTTTTCAATTGTAGTCTCTAGAATAGCATCATGTTCAGGTGGGTACTTAATCATAACGCTATTCCAGAAGATGCTTTAACCTCTGGAAAATTTTCATGTGATTTACTTCACTGGAGTTTCAAAGATTAAAAATATGAGACTAAAAGAGGTTTTATTCTTGGTCCCATTATTGGGAATAGAATGAGAACAATGGTCTATTTAATAATCATTATCATTATCTTCCTCCCAGATTGAATTAAAATTACTTTAATACTCTGTTAGAAAATTCTTTGCAAAAATGCTGTCAATCACTTTTTTTATTTCCACCAACTTGTTAACAATGAACTCAAAGCTAATTCAATACTTTTGAGAGATAGTATAAACTTAATTTTAGAATCTAAAGAACTAAAAAATTATATGCTGTATGATTATTTTAACTTCTAATATTTTTCTAGCACAGCCTCAGCTTACTTGTAAGTAGACCTAATCTAAATTTCTAATGTACTTTTAAGGAGCAGCATTCCGGTAATCTTTTTGGAAGGTGTTATTATGTAATAGACAGTATAAGATAACAGTTCTGAGTATGGGTTCTGGAGTCAGATTGTCTGGGTTCAAATCCTGCTTTAAACCTGTTTGTGTTTAAATATTACTAGCATTTAGAAATTTGAGCATATGTGAAAAGTTGTGTGATCTCACCCTCTCTGTACCTCGCTTTCCTCATGTAAATTGTAGCTCATGATAGAACTACTACATAGGGATATTGGAAATATAAGTTAATAAGTTAATTATGTAAAGTACTCAGAAAAGTACCCAGTATATACTCAGTACTCAATGTTAGCTGTTATTATTTGAGACCCGTTATTGAATAGTTTTAAAACCATTGTTGAGTGCTTCGTGTATGCTATACAAGGAACTTACTTAATATATCTCACCTAAAGTGATCTTCAGAGCATGGCTCAAAATTTCTTTTTTTAGCATTATTATTGTCATTTTTAGTACATTTCAGGCTTTTAAATTTATTAGCTTTTTAGGCTAGGATGATACTTTTTGTCCTTAGGTGAGAAGATTAACTTGTTATGACGGGGGCCCGTTCATTGTCTGTGGTGAACGTATCTTACCCTTGCTCTGTAAACCTATCTTGCCCTTCTTCAATAAACTTCGTTTCATGCTTGCCTTGCTTTGGGTGTATCTGGTCATTCTTCGGCCAAGAGCACACCAAGAACCAAGATCAGACAACTGCCTACCCTACATAAGGAGATCACAGAAGAGTGACTCTAAGAAGAAGAATGCATATTCTTTTAGCATAACTCTGCAACTAATCAATAAAGTAAACTGTGTTTATAAAAAATAAAAACAAGTAAAATGAAATTCATTTTAAAAGCATTCCTTCAGGCAGTAGATGGGAGATGGATTCTTCTTCAGAATTTTGTATTGGAGTCTAGAATTTATCTTTACAAAACTATTATTTACATGGTGACAACAAGAAAAAGGAAGAGTTACCCATGATTTACTGGAAGTTTTGAGTTTTGATTAAAGTAATTAAAATGCTTTTAATATTTATATCTTTCAGAAAATGTCTGTGAAATTCACAAATGCAAAACGAATTGAAGGCCTTGATAGTAACGTGTGGTGAGTATCTTAGAATAAACAATAATAATTTGGTCAGGTTTTCCTACATATTTTTATACCCTTAGTTGGGAATTTTTAGCCTCCTCCATAGTCTGTAAATAAAGCCGCTCATTTAATATATCCATTAAGTGGCAATGGAAAGACTTGAGCAATCAATATGCTGAATTATTCATTTAGCAAGTGTGCCAGGTCCAGAGCTGGGCACTGCACACCTGGCAGAGAAATAGGCAAATGTGGTGATGCCCTCATGGAACTTACCTTCTAGTCCATAGACTTTTCTTATTAGTTCTACTCTCTAACAGTTGATAAGCCAATCTAGCAGCAGCTAAGTTGAGAAAAATATATAGATATAGATATATTACATACGGTTAAAACATGGGCGACATGGAACTGAGGTTTGTATGGAACATTAAGTTCATTACTTCAGCCATCATTTTATTATGTAAACTCATTTTATGGGTGGTAAAATTTTTGTTGGGAACTCACTATTTTTTTAATTCATAAGACTAAGCTAGGTCTTATTTTTCAGTTTTGTAATAAGACTGTAGGTAATGAGAAGTAAAAAGCGAATTTTGTAATTATCGTATTATTAATATCAGTATTTTTTTTTTTAATCTTAGGATTGAATTTACGAAGTTGGCTGCAGACCCTTCTGTTGTGAATCTTGGCCAAGGACTTCCAGATATATCCCCTCCTATATATGTAAAAGAAAAATTATCAAAGATTGCAGCCATTGATAGCCTCAATCAGTATACACGGGGCTTTGTAAGTGCACCAGGACCTTTTGGGGCGCAGGCTTGTATTTGTCTTGTATTGTGAGTGCGCTTCTATCACTTATATGTAATTTTCTTTCTGGGATCCACTGTCTCAACCTGGTAACCTCAGGAACTCCCACCCTTGCCCTTATGTGCTGGGATGAGCCTTCCCTATTTCCAGCCCCTCCGTTCTGTTTTGGCCCTTACTTTACTGTTGTTCCAACATGGGCTCCTATGGCAGAGAATAATATTCTCTTGAGACATGTTTTTTCCATCTTGTTAACACTTAAACAAGCACTGACCCCTTAATTAATATACTATATTTCCAACTAGTTACTTTTCTTCCTCTCGACCCTAACTAACTCAACTCCCATCCGTCTGTGATGAAATGCCTAGGCTATCCAGAGATTTCCTAGATGTAGATGTACCTTTGAACTATATCTTATGTATCTGTTAACAGACTTAGATCTGTTATGCCTCAAGCCATCCAATTATCATACGTCTGAGCATGTCTTTTCCTTTTAATGACAGTGTGGAAAATGGGGGAGGGGTATAAGAGGAAGCCTGTTCACTTTTTGTCTTGTATAGTAGTCTAAGTATAAAAATCCAACAAAGGGCTTTGCTTTGGGAATGGAGCACAGGGAAAAGCAGTGAGACTGGTGTGTGTCCCAGGGTTTGACACTGGCAGGAATCCCTGCTCTCCGTAGACTCTGACTCCCTGGCCCACCCTACAGACCCACATCGCAGATACTCCACACAGCCCCCTCCCCGGCCTATTTAAGTCCATAACGAAAGGCTAGAAATGAACAAGCAATAGAGAAAATTAATGAAACCAAAAGCTGGTTCTTTGAAAAGATCAAGAAATAGAAGTTTTAGTTAGATTGATCAATAAAAAAGAGAAAACACAAAGTACCATATAAAGAATGAAAGAAGGAATATCATTATGGATCATACAGATACTAATACAATAATAAGATAAAATTATGAGTAATTTTATGTCAATATATTGACAACTTGGATGAAATGAACAAATTATTTGAAAGATATAAATTACCGAAACTGACACAAGGAGAAATAAAAACCTGACTAGCCTCATGTCAAAGAAAGAAAATGAATTTGTAATTAAAATCTTTTACAAGCAACCCTTGATACCCAGATGGCTTACTGGTGAAGTCTATCAAGCATTTAAGGAAGAAGTAATACCATTTCTCTGCAAATGCATTCAGAAAATAGAGCAGGATGGAAAACTTCCCAACTAATTTTATGAGACCAGTGGTATCCTGAGACAAAAGCCAGACAAAAAACAAAGAGATAAAATTCAAATATCACTCATGAACATAAAAACAAAACTCTTGAAATTTTAGCAAATCAAATCCAGATGTGTGTGTATGTGTGTGTGTGTGTATATAAAGATATGAAACATCGTATGTCCTGACCAAGGAAGGTTTATCATAGGAATGTAAGATTGGTTTAATATCCAAAAATCAATTATTGAAGTTCAGCATATTAACAGAATATAAAATAAAAATCATATGATCATCTAAGTAAATATACAGAAATTGCATTTGACAAAATTCAACCCTCACCTATAATAAAAACTTTCAGCCAATTGGGAATAGAATAGAAATTTCTCAATCTGATAAAGGGAATCTGAGAAACCTAGAGATTACACTTGTTGTAATCCACAGAAAGTAGAAAAATTGGGAACACAGCAAGGATGCCACTCTCACCATTGTTATTCAACAATGTACCGAAGCCCTATGAGACGGAAACATACAGAGAAGAAAGAGAAAAAATTAAAACTCTCATTTGCAGAAAACATAATCACATACATAAAATATCCTAAGGAGTTCTACAAAAACCTACTACAGCTAATAAATGAATTGAGCAAGTTTGCAGGATAGAAGGTCAATATACAAAATCAATTGTATTTCTACATATTAAAAACAAACGGAAAGTAAATTTTTAAATTTAAAATACCATTTATAATAGCACACAAAAACATCAACCATATAAGACTAAATTTTTTTTTTTTTTGAGACAGAGTCTCACTGTGTTGCCCTGGGTAGAGTGCCGTGGCGTCAGCCTAGCTCACAGCAACCTCAAACTCCTGGGCTCAAGCGATCCTTCTGCCTCAGCCTCCCGAGTAGCTGGGACTACAGGCAT